AAACACAAGACTGGCAATTATTGCAGTTTGGACTTTCAGTTCTTTACATAATATTTTTCGTGGCATTTTGCTGTTAGATTTTCCTTTTGAAGACCTAGACAGTCTGCAAATGAAAGCGTTATGCATTGATCGCACAATGCAGCTTGGATCCAGGTCTAAAATATATGACAATGCTTTCACTGGGCTCCTGTTTGCTTCAGCAGCCATTGTAATAATTTCTTCCTATGTTGGTGTAATAATAGCAGCCAGGTCAGCATCTACAGGGAAAGCTTCAGCCTTGAAGGCTCGTAATACGTTGATGCTACATTTGGTGCAGCTATGCCTCAGTTTGTCCTCAACTATTTTCAACCCATTGCTTGTAGCTCTTATTAAAATTGTTCAAACTGTTGTGTTTATACGGTTACATAAATTTCTGTATATATTAATGATTATATTCCCCAGATGTTTGAGTTCTTTAATTTATGGCCTTAGAGATCAGACTATCAGACCTATTCTTCTGGGCCATCTAGGTTCTCATCTAAAACGTAAAGCTGTTGCAGTCAGTGGTTGAAAAGTTCAGCTTCCGTCAAGGTCTTTATAACTGTGAAAGAAAGACTGTTACACAGTCATAATCAGCTTTATTAGTGTCTTAAATATAGTGAAAATTGTATTAGAGGTTATTTTTTGAATGAACAAAAAGTCTTAATGCAATGTTTTATTGTTGTGAATAATCCATATAAACTAAAGTCCATAAATAAGACTGAGGAATGTAAGAGACAGCAGAAGAATCTTTAATAGACTTATGATATTTATAAGTCTATTAAAGCAAATGCCATCAAACTAAAACCTTTCAGTTATGTTTACATTTTCCCATTGAATTCTAATGAAATACATAGTACATATGTATACCTGTCTGTAAATGTAACTATAAAAATAAAGAGGAACATAAATTTTAAAGAAGAGTCATTTAATTGTCTTTATTGGATCAAAGTTATGTGACAGAGAGCAGGAGCCTCAAGTATAAAAGCGTGTGTAGCTTTCATACTGAAATTTTGTGTTAGGGAGAATTTCTGAAACTTGCAGCGCACAAAAATTCATTTGTATAAAGCTGTGGATAGATTTGTCACTGCAGAAGTTCCCTTTATAACTTCTGATTTAAAGTGAATCTGCATGATATTTTTCTCTCTTTAAATGCTTATTGAAATGAGTATAACTTCCCAGTAGGCTTCCACCACATGTCTGAATGATCATGACAACGGCTTCTATTGAGTCTGTTTCCAACTACGGCTCACAATATTATTATATGGGGTGTGAATGCCTGGTGTACACATTTTGGAAAAAAAGTGCATTTGCCAAAGACTTGACTAAATGTAAGAAAAAAGAAGAAACAACTGAGTGTTTGAACTGCTCATACAGTTAGAGGGGAAGGACTAAGTCTTTTGAAAACGAGTCACCATAGATAAAACAGGCAACAACCAGCGGAAAGCCACACACATTGAAGCCATCTTGCATCTCAGAATAGAAGAGCGAAAGAAGTTTGAAGAGAGTACAAGACAACAGCCTGCTGCTACACCTGCATAAGAGAAAGAAAAAAACAAACAAACCGAGAAACCACAGTGGCACACAACATATGCATATACAATAATGTCACTGGAATGTACATGGTACTAATTAATACAAAATATGTTTCGTGCCAACTGCAGCCCTACAGAGTGCATCCAAACACCTGTGGGAGTAAGCGGTTTCTCAATTCGAATGTTCAATAAAGATTCCGCAGATCTGACTCCCATGACCTGTGGACGACATCCAAACATCCCCCAGAACATGAGAGCAGTGAGAACAACAGCACAGGGACAGCTGACCATCCCAGAGCAGATCCAGCTTTATACCCCAGGGCAGAGGTCCCACCCACTGGCAGAGAGTGTGATGAGGGAGGAAACAGGCCCCATGTTTGGTGGGGGGCTTGATCCAGAAGATGGGGCAGCCCAATACCCAACCTGACAGATAAACAGGCACACACACTTACAACTCCCTATACATGCTCCCAGGTCCAGGTAATAATACTCCAGAGGGGCAACCAGCCTCTGAACCCAGGAGGTAGTCTCCTTCATTCTGGGGTGGAGACAAACAGACCACCCATGCTCCCATAATAGTAGAGCAGCCCATCAGACCAGGGCTGGGTACTGCCCAAACCCAAACAACCTCAGTTCAGACACAAACCGCCCATCCCATCCCCAACTCTATGAGACAGAGCCAAAAAACAGCCAACAAGATCCAAATGAGTAACCCAACCAGAGCCGACCCGGGATGAAACAATTCCATCACCCCAAAGGACACCTTTCACAACTCAATGCTTCCCACCCCCATGAACCTCAAAATGAATTCCCCCACAGGGCCACAGCAAAGAGCACACAAATATTAAACCAGTGCTCGAGAAGGTCCAAAAATCCTCTCCCTGTACGTAGCCAGTGCCACACGAAGTAGCACCGGGCACCCCACCAATCCCACTCTATGAACACAGAGGCACCCAACAGTGCCAGGTGAGTACAAACCTCACCCCCGTACACCCACACTGCAAAGTCAAACCACACTCACAACTGGCACCACCCAGGGTCACGTACACACCCCCAGCAAACCCATCTCTGTCAGAACCTTGTGGTCCTCCAGCCAAAACCAAGAAAAAATACACAAATCTGAACTATTCAAAGAAAACCAAAATGCCAGCCTCAGTCCCAGGTGACTCTTGAGATTTCATTCCCCAACAAGGACCCTGACCAGATGACCCACGCCCAATCCAGATCTTCAGTGTCTTATTGCAAACAGCAGATGAGGGTGTGGAAAGACGCTCATTGATGTGGTGTTGATCAGTGTAATATATCACTAAATTAAACTCAGCTGTTGGGTTTGAAACAAAGTTGGGGAATTGGAATTGCTTCGTCATATTGCTGGTCTGATGACATGTTACCATGTGATGTATCATGTGAGAATCATATGAATGACGAGTACATAAATCAACAGTGAGATGAAGGAAACTATAGGCAAGCTGTGCCCATATGGAAATCCAAACCGGCTCCTATCGGCAGGGTACCTACATATGCAAATGGTTCTTTTAAGAAATTATTGGACAATAAACAGGCATATTTTTAAAAACCTTGTGAGACTAAACTTGTCAGGAAATGTGACATCAAACATTTCTATTTATTTTAAATATGCTGCAAAATGTCTTTCGTCTCTCAGCCTCAGTCTAACATTTCTGTTGCGTTTGATGATGATGGGTTATTGGAAAGAATGACCACCTTTGCCCTGTGCACAATCCTATCATGTGTGTTTCTCTTCATTAATGGAACCATTTTGTTCATTCTGAGAAGTAAATCTGTTTTTCGTGACACCTGTCGGTATATTCTCCTGTTTAACCTTCTTCTTGCAGATACTGCACAGTTAGTAATATCTCAGGCTCTGTTTCTACTTTCTGTTTGTAGAATTACACTAACATATCCTGTCTGTGGCATGCTAACTGTTTTAGGCATTCTCACAAATGTAATCTCTCCTCTAACGCTGATGGTGATGTCTCTGGAGCGGTGTGTAGCTGTCTGCCTCCCTTTGAGACATGCTATGATCGTCACCATCACAAACACAAGACTGGCAATTATTGCAGTTTGGACTTTCAGTTCTTTACATAATATTTTTCGTGGTATTTTGCTGTTAGATTTTCCTTTTGAAGACCTAGACAGTCTGCAAATGACAAGTTTATGCTCTGATCTCACAATGCAGCTTGGACCCAGGTCTAAAGTTTATGATAATGCTTTCACTGGTTTTCTGTTTGCTTCAGCAGCCATGGCAATCATTTCTTCCTATGTTGGTGTAATAATAGCAGCCAGGTCAGCATCTACAGGGAAAGCTTCAGCCTTGAAGGCTCGTAAAACATTGATGCTACATTTGGTGCAGCTATGCCTCAGTTTGTCCTCAACTATTTACAACCCAATGCTTATAGCTCTTATAAAAATTGTTCAAGGGGAAAGCTTTTTACGATTATATAGATTTCTTTATATATTAATGATTATATTCCCTAGATGTTTGAGTTCTTTAATTTATGGCCTTAGAGATCAGACTATCAGACCTATTCTTCTGGGCCATCTAGGTTGTCATCTAAAACGTAAAGCTGTTGCAGTCAGTGGTTGAAAGTTCATCTTCTGTCAAGGTCTTCATAACTGAAAAAACCTAAGACAGTCATACAGTCATCAGCTTTATTGGTGTCTTAGAGTGAAAATTGTGTCAAAATGTGATTTTTTTTTTAAATCAATGAAAATTGTAATGCAGTGGTTTACTGTTGGGTATAATGCATATAAGCTTGAAGAACACAAATAAGACTGGGATGAATCTAGGAGGCAGCAGAATAATCTGTGGAGGCATAACAGTTCAACAAATCATATTTATAAAACAAGTATTTTTGAAACAAATGTCATCTGATTAAAACCTTTAAATTTCTCATTGAATTTAAATAAAATACATGGTATATACATTTATGTCTGTAAATGTAACAATAAAAAAGAGCAACATAAATTTTAAAGAGTCCAATGACCCTTTTATTCTACCAAAGTGACAGAGCAGAGGCTTCGTATATAAATGTGCACATCTTTCATACTGAAATTCCATGGGAGGGAGAAATTATAAAACTTGGAACGATACAGAAAAAAAATTTGATTTACACCTTATAGTAATAGATTTGATTTAAAAGGTACCCTTCATTGTATACAAGATAACCTTTACAAAACAAAAAAACTAAAAGGTAACCAATTAAAATACTAACAAAAGAAAATTTAGAGATCGAACAAGTGAAAATGCTTGTTTCAACAGATGAGTTTTCAGCCAGGACTTAAGAACAGTACTGAATGGAGGAAACAATTATTCCACAGTGTGAAGTAATCATGTTCAACCAAGTCAACGGGCCACTATGTGGTTTGGCACATTTTCACATCACATAAGCCGTACATTTACAGAACCTACCATGAACAGGGAGTGTATGCAAACTCCACGCAGAAAGACCCCGGGCCGGGCATCAAATCCACAGGACCTCCTTGCTGCAAGGCAACAGTGATACCAACTGTGCAGCCCAATATTACAACTTAACAGCTTGAAATAGGCCTCTGTCTCTTCAACCTTAAAAGATGGAGTCATTTACGGCCAACAAGTTTTTTACTCTGTGCACATCTGGCAAGGTTGCACTAACCCTGTATACAGGTTTTACAAAATGTATTTTGTGTGTGGGGTTTTTGGAAACTGACAGTCTGACCTACTTCCCCGTTGTCTGAATGACATTTGCCACACTCCTCCTTAGTGTCAAGCTAAGACTGTGGGGAGGTTAAGAAGTTCCTACTCTTTCCAACACCCCACTTTCAATACATCATCATGTGCAGTTCCACCAGGTGTTTGCTAATTGCTGCTACTGCTAGTCTGGTGGAGCTGAACAGGGGAGGCACAAGGAAGGGGTGCACTGTGAGGAAGAAGCTCAGTTAGACACTGCAGCTACAAGGCAGAGCTTTGGGTAAACCCTCTCCTCCCTCCACCCAATGAACAGTGACCCCCACAAAAAATGCCACAGTGGGCGGACCGGCCAGTCACCACACACAGCCACGTTGACGCCTCCCCGCTGGAACCCACTCTTCCTCCAGGTCTCCAATCCCTAATGGCAAAAGAGAGCAGGAGTGTGGAAAGACCCCAGGCCTCTCTCTGTCAGCTCAAATGTGGTGTTTTATATTTCACTAAATCACTATTTCTCAACTGTGCT